AAGGGTTCATTTACAATGAAGAAGGCCAAATCCTCATTTGTGTGGCCTGCGAGTCAGTTATTAGTCCGGGAAGACGGTCACTATACCATCATTTAAAGCGTGACCTTATTTTGGGGCCTGTTGTGTAAGGCCTATATCGAGCGGTTTAGCACTCTTCAGCTCACGCCAGTAAAGAAGCTTCCCATCCCGCGGCAGATAATCCCGGCCATCCCTTACCTCCGAGTTTACAGAGCATTTCGATGCAACGTTTGCCAGCATCGTACAACACGATGGGAAACAATACTTTATCATTATCAACGCATAAAATTGGTGTCTCGCCGATGCAAGCCTGGGAGAGGGGGAAAATAGGCAGATGCTACGTGCAAATGTATTCATGCGAAAGGGCTCATATCGTACTTCAAAGTCGAAGCGCCACGGTCTTTAAGTTGTCGAAGAATGTTGGAAATAGGTTTTTTAAAGTTGCTTAACTACTTAGCATAAAGTTTTCTCTACAGATATGTCAATGCAAGGGCTCGGATCCGATACAATGGAAATATACTGCGCTGCGACCCCATCCGGCTATGCACTCTTGAGATTTCTAGTTACCACTCTATATGCAGTGCTGGGGAGAAAAACTCCCCACAGCTCAAGCCCAACAGGAATATTACTTGATATGACATGATGCGGCAAACAGGGCACTCATGCGCCTAATTAGGCGGCTAACTAACTAACGGCTATTCGAAGTGTTTTATGATCATTTGGCTAACGTCATTAATCATCCGGATATTGCTCCTTCATATTGGATACGAATCTACAAGATTCTGGATCAAAACGTCTGAAAAACTTTCCTGCCACGGGAAACATGTTATCATCGATGTCCCTAAAATCGTCTATGAGCTCAATGTTATCAGCTGCTATAATATTTGGCTCAGACCCATTGCTTGGACTGTTCCAAGGACCGACAGTCAGCACAAGCGAACAGAAACAAACAACGGAGTTACTACATCGGAGAGGAAGGGCTTCTGGGGCTTACAAGCACATAAAATAGAACTGATTCGGTAGCCGAGCAGCTACTCGTGGGTGTTAGCCGAGCAGCTAGTCGTGGGTGTTCGCCCGGGGCGGCAGTGTCTGACTCGTCATCTGTGTCTCGAGACGTTGCCACAGGCAAATGCTGTGTGCCTTGATCAGGCCAGCCAGTGATCACGCCTATCCAACCATAACGCCTGTGTCGAAAAACCTGGCCGATCTTAAAAGTCACTGACTGATGGCCGTCTAAATCTCTCCGGGACATGGGTGGTATCAGGTCATCTTGGTCTCGAACCAAACGGCAGTGATCCCACGGGTCTCCCAAGCCGCGATTTACATGACGGGCAAACCCATGACGAAGCGCAGTGAAACTGTTATACATGGGCCAAAGATACTTCTCTACCAGCCATACGTCTTCGGGCCATGACCCAGCAAATCGGTGTAGAAAACTTGCTAACCTATCATTCCATTCAAAAGTATCAGGAGGCGTCAGCATCAGAGTTAGGCGTCAGCATCAAAGATGACCACATGGCTGAATACA